CGCACCCCCGCTCACCGCCAACCCGTGTCTCTCCAGGCGTACTGTGAAACCGGAGGAGCGGCGGCCGCGGGAGGATGCGGCTCGGGAGGAGGCGGGGCGGCGGCGGCGGAGCGGCGAGGCCGGGCGGCCCCATGGCGCGGCGCGCGCAGCCCCGGGCGCGGGCGGCCCCGGCCCCGGCCCCGGCCCCGGCCCCGGCGGCCCCGGCCCCGGCCCCGGCCCCGGCCCCGGCCGCGCTGCTCCGCTGGGACCAGGTCCCCGAGGACTTCGTGGAGCGCTTCATCCTGTCCGGCTACCGGCGGCCGCCCAGCTCGGCGCGCGAGTGCCTGGCGTCGGTGCTGCGGCCCACCAACGAGACGCTCAACTTCTGGACGCACTTCATCCCGCTGCTGCTCTTCCTCGGCCGCTTCGGCCGCCTGCTGCTGCTGGGCCCCGACGCGGCGCCCGAGCCGCTGCCCTTCCACCACCCCGGCCTGCTGCCGTTCTGGTGCTACGCCTCGGGCGTGCTGATCACCTTCGCCGCCAGATGCGCCGCGCACGCCTTAGGCAGCGCCTCGCGGCGCATGCGCGCCGCGCTCTTCTACCTGGACTACGCCTCCATCAGCTACTACGGCTTCGGCAGCACCGTGGCCTACTACTACTACATGCTGCCGGGGATGCGGCTGCTGGACGCGCGCGCGCTCGCGCCCTACGTGCGGCAGCGGCTGGGCTGGCGCGTGGAATGCGCGCGCGCGCTCGCCGCCTACCGCGCGCTGGTGCTGCCCGTGGCCTTCGCGCTGGCGGTGGGCTGCACGGCCGCCTGCTGCCAGAGCCGCGCGCGCCCGGCGGCGGGGGCGGCGGGCGCGGCGGGCGCGCGCGCGCACCCGGCGGAGCTGCGCACGCTCGTGTTCACGCTGCCGCTCAGCCTGGCCTGCCCCATCGCGCTCGAGGGCGCGCTCTTCGACCTGCGCGCGCGCGACCCCGCGCTCTTCCTGCGCTTCCACCGCCGCTACCTGTGGCTGGCGGTCGCCGCCTTCTTCAACGTCAGCAAGATCCCCGAGCGCCTGCAGCCCGGCCTGTTCGACGTGGTGGGCCACAGCCACCAGCTCTTCCACATCTTCACCTTCCTCAGCATCTACGACCAGGCGCACTACGTGGAGGACGGCCTGCGCCGCTCGCTGCGCCGCGGCCCGCCGCCCGGCGGCGCGCCCACCTTCGCGGGCACCGTGGGCGCCATGCTGCTGCTGCTGCTCTGCCTCGGCCTGGTGGTGCGGGGGTTCCTGCGGCAGGGCGCGGCGCGGGCGCGGGCCGAGCGCTGCGGGGACCAGTGAAGCCGGGGCGGGGGAGGGGGAGGGCGGGG